CAATTATTCATTAAATACTACATAAAAAATATAAGAAATCTTATATCTCCCTATATGTAATTGAAAAAATAACTTTTCTCAATTCAACATAAGCGAATCAATGAAAATAATATATTTTTAAAAATTTATGAACAAAAGTTGGCTCGATAATATTATTAATGAATTTATGAATTATAAATATTTAATTAAAATTAATTAAAAGATTGTAATTAAATATAATATAATATAGGATATACAAATATTTGATATATAATGAGGCAGATGATCAAAAAAATTCTATATTTTATATTATGTCTTTTTTGACAAATCTACAATTAAGAACATGTGAAAGAACAAGATAAAAGTTTAAAAAAATATTAAATATAAGAAATAATATGAATAATAACTAAGTTGTGACACATACTAATAAATATAAAACAAACTAATAAAAAAATAAGATAATCAATATAGTTATGACATATACTAATAAATATAAAACAAACTAATAAAAAAATAATATAATTAATATAACAAACTATAAATCTTCTAAAAATATACTTATCGATGTAATCGAACTGAATTGTTAAACGCTTGTTAGTTTTTTGTTCTTAAATTTTATATGTAAGTTTGAAGTGATAGACAATAGTTATTTGTACATTTATACATGTAGATTAGAAAAAAAAATCTTTATTATTCTAATTTTAAATAATTTTTTTATTAGTATAATAGTTTTTTTAATATATAAGTATGATATTAAACAGATAAAACAAGAAATATTTTAATTATATAAAATTTAATATGTAATAAATGTAACTCAATTGATAAATTAATAAGTAACCTTGAGATAAAATAACGAGTGATTTCTAGAAAAAAAAATTATAGGAACTAAAAAATTCACGTGTTTAATATATTTCTAATAGAAAAATTATAAACACAATTACTCAATAAATACTACAAACAAAATAATGTTTGAGAGGACTACAAAAATTTTGCTATACTGCAATGAAAAATTCAACGGTAAGGTATTCTACTGAAAATTTCAACGAGTATGTTGCTTTCATTGGCTATTACAATAGAGTTCAAATTAAATTACATGAACTTTAGTGGATGCAAGGATTTCAATTACCTGAATTTCTAGTGAAATATATTTTATGGACCATATTTCAATCGTTGAAAAAATTGTCATTGGTATTATGCAAAAATTCAATAGAAGTTCCATTGGAAAGATAATTGCAGTGATAGGTCCAAAATAATTTCATATTGGAAGCATTATTTATTTAATAGAAAAAAATATACCATCAAAATAACATGTCATTGCAATTTATAAATTATACTTTACATAATCTATAACCTTTCTCATTTGTAATACATTTTAATAAATCTATGCAATCACAATAAGGTAAAATATATTTAAGAAACCAAAAGTCAAGATTTTTCTAAAATCAACATAAGAAAATCGTTATATTTGTTGGAATTTTTGTTGGAATTTTCTCATTTTCTTGTAGTAAAACTAAGCCTCCAAATCTATACAAAAAAAATGCATTATATATAATATTGTGTGCAACTATTATTATGAAATTTTTGATACGATAGAAAATATAACACATTCAATATAATTGACGTTCAATTTATGATAAAAATTAATTTTTTTCAAAGCAAACAAGATACTTTGAAAGGTCCTTAATTATTTTATTAATATTGTAATAACTAAATAAGGGGTAAGAAAGGTGACAAAACTTATAACTATTATTAAATCCAAAAGTAAAAATGCTGATAAAATTACTTAATGTACAATATCAATTGAAGCTGGCTAATGAAAAATATAAAACATACTTAAGATACACATATATTTTAACTAGAACTTTTAAGTACATAATAGACACACACACACACGCACATATATATATATGTATATTTATTTAAAAGTGGCTATGCTAATCTTAATATTTTTAGTTAAGATTTTTATTACTTTCTATCATTGAAATTTTTTAATTTTCAAATACTTCATATTTTTTATTTGTTACCTTTTTATATGTAATATATCACATCATTTATTTTCAATGATGTTTTAGTTGACCCATATATTGCAATAAATAAAAATAATATAATTATTTATATTGATATAAAATAATATATATATATATATCAATACTAATTTAAAATAATAAATTAGTCTTAAAGTATATAATATAATAAATTTTATATTCAAGTTTAATCAATTTTATTAAGTATAAAATAACATAAGATAAACTTGTGGTATGTTTTCCATACATAAATTTAAAACAATTAAAAAAAAGTAAACAAATGGGTGTAAACTTCTAGTTGTTCCCACGTTTTGGCTAGAGCGCCCAAATCCGATATATGTTTGACACGTGTTTGTCGTAATACTGAAACTATGGAAAATGCACCTTAGGGTATAAACGAAGCGAAGCAATGTGAAGTCATAGATAAAAGGAAAGGCTAGGCCAGAGAAAAGAAATGAAATAACATTAGCTATGTGAAGTCAATTACTGCTGCAAAATAAACCCTATAATGGTGGTACCATATATCTATTCAGTGATTATGAGAATGACTTAGTTAATTAATATTTTATCAAACATTGAAAAAAGTTCTAAAACTTTTTAATCTAATAATTCGTATAAAAGTATAATTTTATTAAATATATTAAATTACATTTAATCTTATGTGATTATATTAATTGTAGCCTAATAAATAAGATAATTTGATACCATCATTATATAAAACACATACAAAAAATAACATAATACGTATAAATGTGTTTTAGTTACTTAGCAAATAAAATATTATTTGTCTATAGAATAAGAAACAAATAATATAATAGTAATGCAATGAGAAAAAGAAAACATGCTAATATTTTTAGAAAAGTATGAATACCAATATTTACAAACAAAAAGTCTTTTAAAATTACTACTTTTTTGTTGTTAGCGTTTAAATATATGGACTCTGTAAGAAATTGGTTCTCATAAATAATGATCATATATTAATTATTTTCAGTTTTAAATAATTAAAAAATATAAAAATTTGTATACATGATGTATATTTTAATCATGATTCCATAATAATAAACTTTACAAATGACTAAAAGTATCGTCATATAATGGAATTCTAATTCTTCTGTTGTCACATATTTTAACAAATGATATGATTCTCAATATGTTCTCATTGTTTAGTTTTATCATTGCAAAAAATAGATTATATTGTTCGTCTATATTCTAGATAAATAACACTGAAATGAAATGTAGGATTATCAAAACAGTTTTGAATGTTAGAATTGAATTCACTTTTTACAGAAATATAAATAATCTCATTGGGGTATTATGCTTGAACATATGTGCAATTACTTTAGAGGTACTTTCAGGTAATGTATGATGATTTCAAAAATAATTTAGCACCTCGGGAGAAGTACATGTAACCAAGATTTTGGAAAGTCAACTTTTATTTGGAGATAAAATTCATTCCCACCTCGTGGGGCGATGCATCAATGGGGTAGACACCAATATATCTAGAGATAGAGGAATGTAGTAGTTTTTAAAGTGATAAAAAATATCAGCAATTTTAGTGACACCGTTAGTTAGTCCATAGAGATATTAATCCTTTGTTAGTAGAAGTACCTTGTTATAAAGATCGTACGATCATGAAGTTTGACTATATGTTGGGTCGGAATATTTCTTAAGTGTTTGAATAAAATTGACGTTTTGCCAAATTAATTAAGAGAAATTTTGCAATAGTATTGATGTATTTTACTTCATTTATGCAAAGATATGTTTAATAAATAAATTAATTTATTTTATAAACTTACTCCGCGAAAATCGTTCGACTCCACGTACATCGCACGTGCACTTTACTAGTATATATAAAAAGAAAAATAGAAATTCATACTATCGGCATCTATTTTTCGTAAGAAAGTATATTCACCAACCGGTCAACCTGCCTAACAACATCTGTGATGGACTTGAGGCTTAACGTAAAATAACTAAAGGAAACATAAATTAGACTCACTTCACTGTACTATTTTGAAATAACTGGAGGAATATTAAATCAGACTCACTTCACTGTACTATTTTGAAGTTTGGTTTAAACAACAATAAAGCATTTTAGTCTCAAACAAGTTGAGAAGCCTTTTAGTCTCAAACAAGTTGGAGTAGGCTAGAGATGAAACCCAAGAGAAATAGTGGTAAGAGAAACACAAAAAATGGCTCAAAACAAAACAAGACAAAACAAAACAAAACAAAACAACACAAAACAAAACAAAACTTAAAACAAAAACAAAACAAAATAAAAGGAAAACAAAAGGAAGGGATTGGAGCAAAAAAGAAGGGAGCAAAAGTCACAGTTCCGGCACGTTGATCGCTAGCCTCCAAGCGCTCCTATCCACCACTAAATCTTTGGAAATATTCCAATTTTTAAGGTCTCTCTGAACCGACGCTTCCCAAGTGAGTTCAGGCCGACCTCTACCTCTCTTAACATCATCGACCCGCTGTAGAACTCCCCTACATACCGGTGCATCAGGAAGCCTCCGTTGGACATGTACGAACCACCTCAGTCGATGTTGAACCAATTTCTTCTCAATTTGGTTTAAAATGAGATATAATCAAAGCATATATGAATAGTTTTATTAGCTCAATATATTCATCACATAACACAACATTTAGATTTCAGACAATCCTATTCGCATTGTTTAGCAAATAGTCATACGTGTGAGGCCTTTCACAAAATCTTTAATAATACTGCGCAGTCGGCTTAAATTCATCCGAATTTGTAGTACCAAATCGTGAATCCCTTATTTATAAGGTTCGACTTGCACAAGATCACGATAAACAATAGTTCAGATCAAATATGACTCACAGTAGGTAACCACCACATATTCACAAGTGGAGGGGGGACTGACACACAATAATAGCCTCCATATTTACTAAAGGAGACGGGCAAAATAACAAACATCCTATGATTACTTTAAACACAAAAACACGGTTTTAAGCAGTACAGAAACGAAAGCCTTCTCAGTTGTCCTGTTTGAGCATCCTGAGAATTGTAAGAAACAGGTTGAGCACGTCCAGGTAGAGAGTGACAGAGGCCCATATGTACTGATCGTATGTGAAGCGCTTGATCAGATTGTCTGTGTCATAAACAATGTATCCCGAGAATATTATGGCACCAATCGCGCTGTAGATGGCAACTGACGTAGGCCCAAACGGGAAGAACACCTACACCGCCAATGCAGAAGATGGTTTTAAAAGGGTATAAAGATGAGAATGGGTATAATTTACATAAACAGAAGAGACATGTACATGTACAAATAGGGTTAAGTACCAAAAAGTACCCACGAGACTACTTCTAGTATGATTATGAAAGTACAAGGTCACAGCTAACTTTCTAATTTACAGAGGCCCCATCAATTATTTGCTTCCATAATAAATATACCCTAATATTGAGGGAATTTGTAAGGGAAACAACAAAACTCAAACTATGGTCATACTACCTCGAGGGGAGTAAATGTGATTCTGATAGATTATTGAGCATTTTTGCAATATGGCCAAACATAAAGGGTGTTTTTTTATAAATGAATACTTTAGACAGACGCACACACATAGACAAAGAGGAAACCTGGATAAAGCCAGTCAAGACCAAGACGAAAAGGCTAGTAAACAAGAGTGGTCCCATGAAGCTGAAGTCCTTGCCCTTCTTGGCAGCCCAGAAAGTATAACCAGTCAGAGCTGAAACTACGGCTGATGTCAAGATCAATGCTTCAAGCACAATACTTCCTGTAAGCAAGTTGAAGTCAGAAAGAAAGACAAACATTATACACCGCTAGAAATTAGAATCTAGTTAGTATACCATTGGAAGTTACTAACTAACCTTCAGTGTTGGCACAGCTCACACCAACCGTCAGACTCAAAGATGCAGTAAAGAGCCCAAGGAAAATGAAGTTCAATGGGTGCTTCTGTTGATAAACATGCAAGGGCCACAACACTATGAAGGATACAGATTCATTAGAAACATCATGAAAATATAGGATAAAAACAAAAAAGCATGGTCACGAGTGTCATGACAAGATATTCAAAATGCAACTGATATGGCTTGATGTGGATGAGATTGTTCCAAAGTGATAGTACTATTTTTTTATAAATCATTATTATCTCAAAGTGATTACTATTTCCAAAATATTGATAGAAGCATAACACAACACTAAAATCTGATTAATATAGTGTAAAACCAAACATATAGGCCACCAAAATAAGTATACATATGAGTAAAAGCATTACATACGCACAATTCCGGTATTCCAGAAAACAAGAAAACAAGTATCGCACGTTAAGATAATGAAAAAAACCAACTCATCATTAAAAAAAAAATGAAGCATATAAACAATTCTAGCATAGAGTCAAGCATTTAAAAATGTTAATTCTAGCAATACTTCCTCAAAAAACAATGAAAACCACTAGGGACATGGACCTCTTCCTCACATTCTTAATCCAAGTAACCCAATTTTCTTTTATCATTATCTTGATGTATGGGACAAGGCAAACTATGCATGTATAATAAATTACTGTTCACATTCTACCATTAAATAACGATCTCGAGTTTAACAACAAACAACCACCATATATTCTTACATAAGAACAGACAATTAGATAATATACATGTATCTACAACAACCGATCAGACAACGATCCGCATATCTGTTTGGAAGTTGGAACAAAGTCGATTGATAAAGATACTGAAGCAAATTGGCCAAAAATTTGATTGAATTTCTCAGGAGAGAAAAAAAAGGAATCAGATCTTAATATTGCCTCTACAAGAAGGAGCCACCTATTCACAAAACCAAACAATCCAGGGGCAATCTGTTATCATTTTCAAATTAATGACAATATCGTTTGCGTAACCTACAACGAACACAGAAAATCGAAGATCAAAACTGAATAAGGTTAGGCTCACATATGAAGGGGGTGAAGATGAGGAACAGCAGTAGGCCTGAATTTCCGCGTAGGAGTTCGTTGATCGGAGCGTATAGCACAGTCGCGGCGGAAATGGCGGTGG